CTGTATCCAGTCAGTGTTACCAATAAGGCCTCCTCCATAGGAGGCAGACATGCCTCACTCCCTGTGGTCCACTGAGCCACACATAGTGGGACTTGAACAGAGCACAAGGTCCCAAACCTTGATGAGAACCTGCATCCTTCTGGCTGTGTCTTGGGTTTGGGAAACCATGCCAGCTTCCTTCAGGTTCCAGTCTTCAGGTTCTCTTGCCTTCATGACCAATCCTTTGACCTCATAGGTGCTTTAGCTGATGTGGGGTGGAATTAGAGTCTCCAACAGGAATATGGCAATCTAGGACTGACTTTGTGAGTCCAGCATTGGATCTGTTTGCCTTTCTGTGCAGGGTAAACCAGACCTCAAAGATTTTTTTTTTTTTTAAGGGTAAACTGAAGCAGTTCTGTTCTATGTTTTTATCCCTTAATTGAGAAATCTCTTGCTAAGCAACCTCCAAGGCCTGTCAGAGAACACTCTAGAATAACATTGGTAAGCAAGATTGTACAGCGAAGACCAGAGCTCCTGAGCTGCAGGTCATAGAAGGAGAAGTCTGGATGGTGGGCCAGTAGGTTGCCATCTTGTCTGATCTGGGCTGCCCTTGCCCCTGTTTAACAACAAGGCAGTAAGGGCTCAGAAAAGCTTTGTAACCTGCGTGGGGTCACAGATCTCACCCCTAATCTTTAGCCTGCCTGGTGCCAAAGCCCTGGTTCTTTCTCAGAGGTACCCAAAAGGGTTCTTGTCCCTGACTCAGGGTGCTATACATGGGTTCCCTCCAGCTGGCCTTTCTCCTCTGAGTTTGAAGGAGATGACAAAGATGAGCAGTGAGGGCTAGCTCTCACTCCAGAGCTCTGCTACCAGCTCCCAGACAAAAGGGCACAGCACAGGAAGGCATCTTTTCCCAGGACCTAGCTCCAGACTACAGCTGGCCTATATCCTTGATTCCTAGGACAGTCTCAAGGCTCACTTACCCAGCTCCTCATCTGCAGTTCTTTGTGAAGCCTAAGGCCCACATCAGAAGAAAAGGACGACTATGGACAATGACACAGTGCTAAACATAGCTCTGTACATTTGAAAACGAACAATGTGTAAAAGCCTTGAAAAATTTTTTTCTTTGATGTGAATGGAGTCTTCGGCATTTTGAAATACAATACCATGAATTAATTGCTACTCATTAGGCAGCAAGTCAGGCCAGCCCTGAATGTGGCTTCCCTCCTCCACAGGAGCTGTGGCCTGACCAGAATCGCCTCTTTTGTATTTGCTCCCGCCTTCTGCAATGATAAGCAAATTAGAGATCGTAGCTAGAAAATGTTCAAGTGCCCCATCTTTTGCCCAGACCACCTTATGTTTTTGTGATGTTTATCTGCTCAAGGGTCATGGCTAATTATTGCAGAGGTCACATGAATCGGCACTTTGATTGATTAGAAACATCTGCAAAAGTAATTCTTAGGGAAGTATTTTGTGTTTTGTCTTTTTCTGGTGGGGGAAAAATTGGTTTTACAAGCAAATTGCTATTTTCCCTCCCTTTCATTGTAATTTCATGTTGCTAGGAAAAATATGTTTGCAGGAAAGTGTTTAATAGCTCTTGAGAGCGTTTTACTCTTGGTCTCTGTGATATCATATCCTAGATGATAGTTTATGAATAAATTGGTGTGTTATATGGTTTGTATACACACTCTATATATATTAGGACTTTACAGGTTATCTATATATGCTATATATGTATATATGTGTATATACATACACACACACATTCATTAATGGATGGCAGCTGAGATATACTGTACATGGGAGCATTCATTCTCTTTAAATTTATTACCCTTAAAGTTTGTCTGTGGCTAATGTCCAGAGACAATGAGATTGTTTTTTGCAAACCAATGAGAAAGGAGGGAGAAACTCATTTGATATCTAGAGCCTGGTTCATACAGTGTCCTGGACTAGAAGAGTGTCGTCTTTAGCCTTGCACATTCCCATTGCTGCCTTTCTAGTATGTATATTGCATATAGGTATTTTTCTAATCCCACATTTGGTCACAAAGAGGAGGCACTCAGCAGAACAGAACTTGTCTTCATAAAGTAAGAAAGCCTGTTATTAACAGTTTGTGAAGTTTCAGGTCAGGCCTAGGAGTTTGAGTAATACTGGGCTGTGCAGATGGGGTAGGGGCAATGGAGCCTTTGATGGTGTACGGCATAAATTGAATGGTGGGGAAAAGAGGGTAGATAACAAGACTTTTACCTCTAGCTTAGACTTTCCTGGCATCTTTGGCCCATATTTGCTACTCTCTGTCAGCTCACCAGGCCATGGGCTCAAAAGGAACAGAGAATATGAACTTGTCCCAGGTGCCCCCCCAACACACACACACAACATGGATTTTCTTCTCCTGTGCTCCTGTGTACACACATACTCAGTATTTCCTGACGGCAACAGGCAGAGTATAACTCAATATTGTTTTACTAGTGTTTCAAAATAATGCAGTAGGTTCATTCTTTGTAAATCTCATCCTCATCTCAGAAACATTGAGAAGTGCAAATACATCTTAGATTGAAATTAATTTGGTATGTGTGTAGCTCACGTTTCTTATTTCTTACATGCACTGAGACTTACTGGGTCCACTAAAATGCACCAACCACATTCCACACTAGGGCAGGCAGGATCACTGCTCTCGTCAGCATCTCATAAACACAGAACTCACAGGTCTCTGAGAGGCTGCAGGAGTTGCTCGCGGAGCAGAGCCAGGTCCTGGAGTGATTTTGTAGTTCCTCAAAACTCACACCAGCTGAGCAGGCAAAATGTCTGGACCTCTCTGTTTTAAATCACTCAGCCCTGGTCCTGAAGAAGTTGTGAAGCATGGGTAAGCACCTGTGGCCATTCCTCTGCTATTACCTCCATCTCAGCAAATTGCCCTGAGAGCTTTTATAACCTTATCAGGGGTTGAATGGCTTCAGGGCTGGAGTCTAATGTGATAGGCCCAAAGAAAACTAGCAAGTGTGTATTGGTGTCAGACATTCTCCACTGTGAGTAGAGCCAGATTGCCCATAGATTCCCTTCTGAGGGGATGAGTGGGGCCAGGTGAAGCCATCGGCCTTTCAAAATGAATTCACTGTTAATGACATCTGTGTGTGTTGGCTCAGCTCTGCTTTAGGACACATAAATGTTCCCAGTCTATCATAAAATTCTATTTCCACATCTATCTGTCTCTTTAAATTTTACTTGCATCAACTTCAAGTTAGACAAGCTTCAGGTTAGAGGTTTGACTGGCTAGCCAATAAAACCTGGCTTGAAAGAGTGCCGGCCAAGATGGTAAGCTTCTTTTCTAGTCACCCTAGGCCATTCTAGCAGGGACCAGCAACCAAACAAGCTTCCCCAGACCTTCACTGTGTCCTTGATGCAGAAGGTACCATAGCATGGTTTCTGTTATCAGTGTCTGAGTACAGCCTGGAGAGCTAGTATAGGGCTCTCAAGTACAAAGTACAGAAATGTGAAAATGCACATTTAGCTCCTCCTACTCCCCCTTCTTATTTTTCCACTTTCTTTTAAGACATTTGTGATAGAATATTTTTATTCTTTGAGAATCTGTCTCTTGGTTATGAGCTTTCAGAAAAATTCTCATGGTGTTCCTGGTGTGCTGGGCAAGGTGCTGTCCACATTTTGGATAATCACATGCATCCTTGTTAGAAGCTTCTAGAATTGTTCACTAGTTTTATTTTATTCTCAAGCTCCTCTTGACCTTCTCTTTGGCAGCCTGTCCTATTTATTCCTTACCTTTGGTTAACTCTAAATATGGAAGCTGCCTCCTGACTGACTCTTAATGTCCTCCCAGTCATTGGTCCTTTCGATAAATTCTGAGTGGCAGCTGAGTGGAAGGCACCACAGTATGTGTTGGTGTTACTATTTTGTTCCTGCTTCAGTGACCTCTGGCCTATGAGTATAGACCCTCATTCCTCAAGCCTTGATGGACCCATGGAGCCTGCCACACACAAGGCTTGACAGTTAGTTGTTCCATCTATAATGGGGGATACCACATAGCCACCAGTCAGGGAATTGGGGGAGGGGGTCAATTCTGTCAGTGGTTGTTGTTGGATAGCTATCTGTATGGTACTTTCCTAAATTATAGAAAATGACTACGTTTCACATGCATTTTTCTAGCACCTGAATGTTGTGTTTATATACATATGTATTTTTTAACTAAAGAATAAAAGTAACCCTACCTTTGTATGTGACCCTTTTAACAAACTGTTTATTATTGTATCCAGGTAACAAGCATGGTAAGTATATTCTCTAACCTGAATATTCTGTATTTTAGCTGTGCTTGGCAGACTTTTTTTTTTTTTTTTTTTTTTGCTAGCTTTATGTTATCAGTCTTGGCTTTGTAGAAAAGACCCATTTAGGAAAGGAAAGACTGTAGCATCCCTTACACCCTGAGCTTGGTAAAGGAATCACTGTAGCCTTAGCCCCATAGCATGTGCCCCCGACAGCATGCTGCTTGGCTGCCCCCCAACCCCGCCCATCTGCTGCTTCTGAACTGCCCCTCCATAGATGTTTGCCAGGGTTCCTAGGCCTCGAATGACCCAGCAGGGCTGGCACTGTGTCCCAGTGATGGCAGGTACCCAAATAGTGTTCTCTACCTTCTGTAGATGGCCCTGCCCCTGCTAATAACCATTGTTCTCACCTTTCACTTGAAAGCAGGGTCACCCCTACCCCTAGTATGGTAAGACATTGAGAATTTTTCTGGAAATAGAAACAATGAATACATTGTTTGGCTTCCTAACTATTGAAAAACGGATTAAGGGTTTAAAACCCAACTTTGCCGCTAGGTATTGCTTGCTAGTGGCCCCAGTTCTATAAGCCGGAGTCACAGCCTCCTGGCCATTTGATTTCTCTCTGTGCATGTGTGCTTTTTTGGCCCCCCGTGTGGCTCTGTATTTTAGTCTTTGTGCTCGTGGCTGTACTGTTTAACTCACGTGGTAGCCATGTGTTCTGTATTAAGTCAGTGTGTTACTGTCATCTTCAAGGATCAGACTGCCAAGGACAAGGCCTTACAGCACATGGCTGCCATGTCATCAGCCCAGATCGTCTCGGCTACTGCCATCCATAACAAGCTGGGGCTGCCTGGGATTCCACGCCCTACCTTCCCGGGGGCACCAGGGGTAAGTAAGCAACCAGATCCAAGAATGACGGATTACTGGGTATGATGGTATAGCTACTCAGGAGACAGATTTAGGAGGACCACAAGTTTGAAAGTCTGTTTGGGCAATGTAGTAAGTTCAAGGCCATCCTGGTCATCTTGATGAGGCCCTATCTAAAACACAATTTAAGTGGACTAAGTAAGGATGTGGCTTAACAGTAGAGTACTTGCTCGTCATATGTGAAGCCTTTAGGACAAACCATAATATCACAAAGTGAAAGAGAGAGAGAGATAGAAGATGGAAAGATAGATAATAGGTGAATAGGATAATAGATAGATGGTGAGTAGATAGATATATAAGGCAAGGGAGATGAGAGAGATGAGTCTACAAAGAAAAGAGAAGGATGGAAGGATTGGTAGGGAGGAAGAAAGGAAAAGAGATGAAAAAGGGAAATAAGAGGAAGAAGAAAATAGGGAAAGTGGTGAAATTAAGTATCTTGTTTTTGGTGTCCCATTTAGTTGTGATCAGCCTCTTTCACTCCTTTTCCTCGTTCTTAGTCCTCAGGGTCCTCAGGGTCACTTTATAGTAACCACAGGGGCAAAATATTCTTTGTAAGATTTTCAGTTGACAGCTCCAGGAGGCTGAGAAGCTACCCCAAGGCCATCTTCAGTAGTCTCAGTGTCATGGCCGTTTTGTAGATGCTGAAGCTGGGGTCACTCAGTAATGAGTAGAGGTGACTTGTTCAGTCAGATGAGTAATACTATAAGGATTCTGCATTTCTCCCTTTTGGTGGGGAATAGCAGACACCAAAGGTCTTAGGGATGCTCACAGCAAAAATGAGTACCCTAGTTGCTTCTCCCAGCACTGGCTTCGTTATTCCAAAATCCGTGTGTCACTTCATTGGACCTTGACAGCTATGTATTATCGGTGTACTGGAAGTATTTGTGGTAGAGGAGGGCCAGCCCTTGCAGAATAAATTGAAGTACTTCCACATTGCCTCTTGGTTTAGGAGTTTTCAGGATGTGGTAGCTAAAGGAAGCCCCCTATTACCAGGTCGGGGGTAGGATATGGTCTTAAACACAGTACCTGTACTCCAGAAAGATGATGCCACAGCTGGTGGGTGGAAACAGTCTGGTGTTTTTCAGCAGGGGCATAATTTGGACACATCCCAAACTGTGCTTTGACAAGAACTTATAATCCTGAAGCCTTTGCTTTTTGTCTTCCAGTTCTGGCCTGGAATGATACAGACAGGACAGCCAGGATCCTCACAAGAGTAAGTCTGTGAAGGGCCCAGACAGCAGGGTTAGGCAGCCCACCCTGGGGAGTTCTTCTCTGCCAGGCTTTCTTAGGGGATAAGGGAGAGAAGACAGTCAAACGGAAGACCCTGAATCTGCCTTTCCTTATGTCCCTATATGGAGAAGACCTGTCCACCATTGAGAGTTAGTACAGGTATAGATCCCTTTCTCCTACCTTCAGTATTAGCAATGACACAACCAGAAACTTGTGGCTTTGGCTGTAGTACCAGGGTCTCCCTCACCAGCCAGAGGTCAGCAAGGATACTATCTCTTTCTATTGTGGCTGTCCCTGCAATAGGGGTGCCTGATAGAAAATCGCAGAGACCCCTTGGATTCAGGGAGGAAGCTCAGCCTATGAGTCAAGGGCAACTGGGGATGAAGCAGAAAGGAAATTTTCTTTGTATATATTGAGCCACATGGTCTGGAGAATGGAGATCCTGACTTGTGGCATCTTAAACCTTCCTTGGGCTCTGACAGATGACCTTGGTCTGTGTGGGTAAGACTTCACTAGAAAAATCTTCCTTTTTGTAGATCTAGTTCAGCATGGGATGGGCAACCCAGTGCGGGCAGGGATCCAGGCAGTGTGATGGAGTCATGGGAGGTTACTACAGGAAGCCAGAGCCTGCCCTGGGTGGTAGCCACCACTGCATCCATGATTTTAACTCTTGCTAACCATTTGTCTTTAGCGTCAAGCCCTTTGTGCAGCAGGCCTACCCCATCCAGCCAGCAGTCACAGCCCCCATTCCAGGTGAGTTTCCCTGCTTCTTCTTCAATGGGGAGTGAGGGGAAGCTTGGTCTCTTTTGTCACTACAGTGCAGTGGTATTAGTCTTGGCCACCAGCCGTCCTTCTTCTTTTCCCTTCTAAGGGTGGACCCTATCATGAAGCCCAGAAAAGTTCCAGGCATCTCCCATCAGACGCTTGGTCTCTTCACTCAAGAGTTCCTTTCCCCCGTGGCTAGAGAGATGGCTCAGTGGTTAAGAGCCCTGATTGCCATTGCAGAGGACCTGGATTCATTTCACAGCATCCACATGGTATCTTTATAACTATTTGTTAATCCTGTTCCAGGGGATACTATTCCCCTTTCCTGACCTGTGGACACCAGGCATGCACATGGTGCATATACATATATGCAGGTGAAACATTTAGATGGTAAAAATTAGCAAATAAACTTAAAAACAGACATTTCTTCCAAGAGCTTTTCCTATGAGATTGTCAGGAACAGGAAGCCTGGGCACTTTCACTTAAGACACTGGGTCCCACTTAGAAGGGGAAGTTGTTGTGGTTGCTGTCTTCACAGCCAAGTCCTGCAAATCTGAGTTAAGCACAGATAACTTAAGCTTTCTTAGTGAGTTTCACTTCCCTCTTGGTTCCCTTCTGTAATGAAGGGCTTACAGTAGAAACTGTGAACCTGGCTGGCCCATCTGGCTCCGCTTCTCATGAACTCTCTCACCCAAATATACATAGTATCACCCAGCTGAAATTTCTGAGTTTCCCTATAATTCCTGATCTACCCCTTCCTTTAGTGTCCCAAATCAAATTGCAGTCCCGGGTTGCCCTCTGTTTGCATGAAGCATCCTGAGGGAATGTTCCCAGTCTTGAGATAAAAGATGAGTCAATAGAAGCAAGTGTACCATGGCAGGACCCAATGCACCAAGCCAGGATGCTTCACTGGATTCCTTCGCAAGCATTTCCTTAGGCACTTCAGCAATTCTTAGCTTGCTCTCCAGCCTGCTCCCTTTACCCAGGATTAACTACCTATGTTAGTTGCTTTGACAAAATACCAATACAAGGAACTGAAGAGGGGAAAGTTTTGTTTGGGTTCACAGTTTGAGGGTATAGTCCATGGTGGCATCTGTCACATGGCCTCCACAGTCAGGAAGCAGAGAGACGAATGCTGATGCTCAGCTCTGTTTCTTTTATACAATGTTCAGGACCGTTGCTGTGAGATGGCGTTATGCTCATTCAGGGCGACACTTCCCTTTTCTTGAGTTAAACCTCATAGATACTTAACCGTAGTGATTCTAAATTTAAGCAAGCTGACAATGGACATTTACCATTAACCATCACAGTGTCCTCCTGCCATAGTCCCTTAACCTTAGCTGAGGCTGTCTTCATGGTGAGTCTCAAGCAGTCCACTTAGCTGCCTCACTGCCTGAGTGCACTAGTGGAGGGAGTTGTCCTTTCCTTCTAGGTCCTCTGTGTTTGGAATAATGCCCCATGGAGGTCTAGGAGGACATACATGTGGACTTGTGTAAAGGTGACAATTGTTATTTCAGGGTTTGAGCCTGCATCAGCCCCAGCTCCCTCCGTCCCTGCCTGGCAGGGCCGTTCCATTGGCACAACCAAGCTTCGCCTGGTGGAATTTTCAGCTTTCCTTGAACAGCAAAGAGACCCAGACTCGGTGAGTATGCTCAGAGGGGTGTGGCTAGTGGGAAGTGCTTCCATGCCTGCATATTTCTGCATCCTGTGGTCTGTCCCTTCCGGACCCCTTTTCTCTTACACCAGTATGAAATGTCCTGTGTGTGAAAACAGACATGGGACAGCCAGGCAGCCCTTCTTCGCGTAGGGAGAAGGACGCTCTTGGCAGATAGCTCTAGCTTCAGACGTGGATATTTATTGCTGCTTGAACCACAAGCTTCAGGGAGTACTGGCTAATGTCTCATAAAATTTAACAACAGGTAGCATTTATTGGTCATTCTTGTGTGGCTGATGTGATATAAAGTATTTGGATACGATTAGATAAATGACAATGGATTAGTAACTTCTTTGGTTTTATAGTTATCTCTGGATTAAAGGTTAATTCTAAAACACTAAAGCCTAAACTGTCAGCCATCATATTATCCAGCATTTCTAAGTCTGTGGGGTTCCCCCTTCCCCAAAAAATATTATCTTCAGAAGTAACGGTGGTGCTCTGATAGCTACTGTAGACTGCAATGTTTTATCATATTGGAATTACCAGAAACACAGGCATCTGGACTCTGTTTGTCTTTTCTTCTTTTTTCTCCCCACCCACTCCATCTTGTACACATCATCCCATGCATATGTTAGCCTCCCTTCTTCCCCACCCCATAAGCCGGTACCCTTTGTTCACACCCACTCTTTGGCTGTGAGTGTGAGGGTTGCATCTGTGTGTGGGTGAGCCCCAGGCAGCAATTGAAGCAATCATGAGTTAGTGTTTGGGATCCTCACCAACTCCTTTCTACTTCTGGCACTGACCTCTTTGGGGACCATCCTGGACATGTGGTTCCAGGGTTCACTGTGGGTCTTGCTCTCATCTGTTATCAAGAGAAGGAGTCATAGACCACGCATGTTGGCACATACAGAGGCAGACAGACATCAGTGAGTTTGAGGCCAGGCTGGTCTATATAGTGAGTCTGGCTCCATAGTTAAGAACTTGTCTGAGACACACACACAGAAAGGAGGCAGGTAGGCCGACAGACCACAGATAGAGGTGAGTACACACCGTGTGTCATAAGTATTAAAGGTTACCTTCTGAGCGTCTGCTTGGCTGGGTGCAGAGGTGCCCAAGGCAGAGGCACTGCACCAGATGTTCCAAGAGTTCATGTAGGGCCCTTTGGTATATCTGCTACTCTGAGGGCTGTTAGAGAATAGGGCCACTCCAGAGTTAAGGGACAATGAAGTAAAGTGGGTACCAGAAATTGAAGATGCTCTTGAGACCAGAGCAAGGACGCAGCCTGGTGGTCTACTCTTCTCCAGTGTCTGGAGTCTATCTGGGAAGAAGGGCCTGCTGGGCTAATCCACACGATGGGGGCATTGTGATGATAGCAGAATATCAGTCTTGTTTCTGTCGGGAGGCCAGCCTTACCATCTCCTTTCTGCATCTTCTGTTTGTTCCCAGGTGCTTTGCTATTGATTCTGTCCCCATAGTGCCCCTTTAGATGGTTCTGTTTTCCTCACTCTTCAGAGGAGGAAACTCAAGCTAGGTGACTTAAGTTATACAGTTGGCAAACAGAAGGACCAGACTATATCCTCTCCTCTCATTACTGCTGTAAATCCCATCTCTGGCTTTGTTATTGATGAAGAACCCCTGAACTGCCTGTGTGGTCCTGACCAGATCTCTCCCACTGTACCCTATTGTTGATGTTTGAAATCTGCCTAATGAACACACATCAGGTTTCTTTGACCATGGTCCCTCAGTGTGGGCAGGACATCTCCAAAGCCACAGATGCTTAATACCCCTATAAACTACACACACAAACACACACACACACACACACACACACACACACACACACACAACGCACACACTTCCCCGTACTTTAAATCAAGGAGTGTTCTCTCTCTCTCTCTCTCTCTCTCTCTCTCTCTCTCTCTCTCTCTCTCCAATCCCTTCCTTCTTCCTTCCTCTCTCTGTGGTTTTTCAAGACAGGATTTCTTTGTGTCGTGGATTTATTTTAAATAGTCACATACCGCACTGTTTAGGGAATGTAGATAGTACTATCCCATAGACTGAGGTCCTAAACTAAATAAAAAGGAAGGCTACTAAGGGCGACCTCTAAGTGCCAGTGTAGACTAAGACTGTCTCTCATCACAGTTGAAAGTTGCTTGCTCTTCATGAACTGCTCCTGCTGAGAATTCACTCACCTACTTGCAACTCCAGCCTCCAGAGATCTGATGCCCTTTTCTGCCCCTCCCCCCCAGGGCATGTGCCTTCAAAGATACATGCATACAGAAACGTAATGAAAACTAAAATCTTTCTAAAAATAAAGTTAACTGGCCTTTAGTTTAAAAATATCTGTTTCAGCTGGGCAGTGGTGGCATACACCTTTAATCCTAGCACTCAGGAGGCAGGCAGAGGCAGGTGAATCTCTGTGAGTTCTAGGACAGCCAGGGCTGTTACACAGAGAAACCCTGTCTTGAAAAATGAAAAGCAAAACAAAACAAAATGTCTAGTTTCAAGGTTAGAGATGTAGTTCAGTGGGAGGTTTATTTAGTATGAATGTGCAAGACCCTGGGTTCTACCCACAGCATCTCCACAGGAAGATAATTTCTAATGTATCTGATGTTTCTGCCTTGGGGTATGATGTTTATATCAGATTCACCAACTGAAATCATAACAGTTATTAAATAATTTTGTGTTACCTAGTCTGTCTCAAAGATATTTTTTCTTAGAACACCCATTTGCAGTTAAATGTATACAGATGAATGTATGGGGGTTGGCTCAGTTGATAGAGAGTTTGCCTAGCATGCACGGAACCCTGGGTTTGATTGCCAACACCACATAACCTCAATGTGGTGGTCTGTGCCTATAATCCCAACATTTAGGACACAGGAGGATCAGGAGTTGACAATCATCCTTGGATTGATAATGAATTGCAAGCCAGCCTTGGCTACCTGTGTAGCAGATTGAAAGTTGTGTGTCTTCAATTTTAGTGGAAGCATGAGGGCCAAAGTGTGGTCTCTGTGCTGGAAAAGAAAGATGGTAATTGACTTCTCGAAGTGAGTGGGAATTAACCTGGTTATTTAAAGCATCTAACAGTGTCTGATGTGGCATGGCAGCCTTTGCAATGACCTCACCTACCACTCACTAGGCAAATGCCCTGTGCTGTCCCCTGACAGGCCGAAGTGCTGCTTCAGAATCAAGATTAGGCTGAAAAATTTGAAACATGTGGATGATTTCTTTGGCTCTTGAGACTTCCTGTAATTTCTGAGACATTAATTTCATTGTATTTTTGTTCTATGATAGACAAGTTATAGTCATTTAAAATACTCAGCTGGAAAAAAAAATACTCAGCTGGTATGTTTAAAGACATTTGGAAACACTTTGTTAAAATTTAACACGAAAACATTAATCACATTAGTTTGATAAGGAAATCAGCAAAGTGACCAGTAATTCTAGGCCCTTAACAAACTTAAAGGTCAAAGTTGGAGTGTCTAAATCTTTGCTACATATCTACTTGCAGGTATATTTCTTGTGTATCTTTGCAGCAGTGTAGGCTCATTTAAACCATGAGGTGGTGAGATATCCTCAGTAGGGTCTGGGGAGATGGCTCAGAGCGTAAGACCACTTTCTGCTATTGCAGAAGATGAGTTCAGTTCACAGTATTCATATCAGGCAGCTCATCAGGGGTCAGCAGGCATCTGCGCTCACATGTCCATCACTGCACACAGACACACTTGCGTACATGAATTGAAATGAAATAAATCTTATCTGTTTGTTTATTGGTTCTTTGTTTTTGTTTATTCAAGACAGAATTTCTCTGTATAGTTCTGGCTGGCCTCAAACTCACAAACATCTGCCTGCTTCTGCCTCCCGAGTGCTGAGATTAAAGGTGTGCACCACTACTACCAGGTGAAATGAAATCTTAGAGAATAATCTTAGTAGGAGAACTTAAAGGTAGCATGAGCAAAAAAAGGTGAAGCAGCCAGACACAGTGCTGGGGAGTTAATTTACTCTATAGCTTGGTACTAAAGTAGGTCAGTCTACCTCTTTCTAGATAAGAGGCTTGACTGAATGCTGTCTCATAGGCAGCTTTGAACCCTGGTCTTCTGTAACGTGATTGCTTAGCTGTTAAACAGCAAAGCCCAAGAGCTTGAAAACTAGCCTGTCTCCCTGGTACTGGGCTGTACACTTTGTACCAGCCTTTCTTGAAACCTCACTGGCTTACCGCCTGATGCTGTTGTCATCACTAAGGACTTCTCAGTTTTGCCACTGTCATGTGGACAGTGTTAGTTCCAGTAGCCGTTCTGGCCAGTACCTCTTAAATCTTTCCTATGTGCCAATACTATATGTTAGCTTATTTAACCCTTATGAAGTAGTGTGCCTCGTGTTAGACTGCCAACTGATACTCAAGATGGGACTCATATCCAGGTCAGCTGACACTGAGTCCTGAGATTGTGACCGAAAGGCTGTCTGGTTCATTTATGTCTGAGGAATAGCCTGTGTTCATGGCCCAAGGCTGTGAGGGACTAATGGAAGAATAATAAATGGCTGCACGCCCCCTGCTGGCACCAGGTCCTGCGTGCAGCAGATGGCAGCATTTCCCCAAGTTGGTGGTTGTTTATGTTGGTAGAAAACCAGCAAGGCAGTCCCTCTGTTACCTTTGGCTCCACTAGAAGTGAAGAGAAAAACAGCAGAGGGTGAAGAAAAGACGGAAGAACCTAAATAACAAAGACTGTTTTAGAAGTGGTTGGGAGTGCTTGAAAATACACTTTCTGCATGGTTTCCATGTTGTACATCAAAGTGTGAAGTACAAGCTTCTTCAAGGATGTGGAAAGCTTAAGGGCCAGTTTTGGGATTGGGGCCCAGCGTCTGTAGAGGAGAGTGTAGGCAGCTGCTTCCTCATATACACAAAGTCTCGTAGTAGGAAGCTGTGAGTGGTGTCTTGTGTGTGCCTGATAAAGCCTGGATGTTTCCTCAGCCCCCACTCCCAACCCACT